GTTCATTGATTTGTTCACACTTCTTCTGATAGGTGCAAAAAGGAAAGGAGCGCATGCTTACTCAAAAAGTATTTCGTCAGAAGCTTACTTTTTGCACAACCGATTTGCTAGGTGGCATTATGTGAGATGCGTGATAATCATGCAATGATCAGGCGCTCTATACCATCCCTCGATCCAATTTGTGCTACGCGGAATGTCCAGTGATATTTTTTCACGCACGTTCAACAAATATTGGGCAAAAACCGGTTACCTTCTCCGCCTCCTTTGCACTGCCCCAATCCGTGTAAATTCAGAATACATCAGGAAATCCTCTAGTATATCATCTAAACTTCCGTCTAATGATACCGTGAATTGTTCGAAAAAGATATTGACATGGTAAAGCGGCACGAATGCGAGTCCTTGAAAACATTTCACCACCACTCTATTTCCGGAATCGTACCAGCTGCTGAGCCTCAAACTTTGGATCTTTCTACACAAGCAGTGACGAAGTGAAATAAACAATCACTGGTTCGCGTGCTTGGATCAATAAAAAGTTTATCGTGTTAAATAAAGCGCAAACGGCACTGTTCTGAAATGATCAATTAACGCATGAAGCGCGTACAATAATTGGTAGCGCTCCGATACTAAATTTAGCAGTACCATCATGAAACCGTTGAAGAGCTTTCGGAGCCCCTGAACTCTACTTCCGGGGTTTTCGAGCTCATTTGAAGCAAGTCCGTCAATGCAGAACGATAATACTCCTGGATACCGTCAAATGCAGAGTGATAGTCAAAACGATAATAATCTTGGATACCATTCAATCCTAGCCGTTTCGTAAGCTCCATTTCCATCAATCCAAATGTTCATTAGGCTAAATGCCCATTAGGCTAATACATTCGATTAGATTGTTTTGATTTTGTTGGTTAAGATTCACAGGACGACATTTATTACTTCATCCGCTGACTGTGTTGATGTGCGTGCATGTGAGTGTACGTCAGAAATATTCGTGTTCGAATCTGACAAATCATTTCCAGATGAGCATTTGAAATAGAATCTCTATTATGTGCTTGTGTTCTTCATTATTTTCACGTCAGTATCCAATCGCAAAACATATAACGCCTATGGACGCACTTATTTAATCAGTACCTAAATGATGCTTAATTGAGAAGGGATTTTCGTTTCACCGAAAACTTCGTCGAATTATTATTGTTACTCTAGTGATTGTAGGTTGGTTGAGGGAGCTTTTCTCTATTAGAGAACCTTTTTTTCAGTGACAGTCATGATCAATCAAATCGACTGATTCGCATTTGCGTTTGATATTTCTGATGCTCGTTTTATGCAGTTGGAATTGGATGATTGTTGTTGGCGTTTTTGCTTATAAGGTTCGTCAATCAACATTGAAAATTTCTCGCTCTTTCCATAAAGTTCTAAAAGAATCTTTGGCATCTTCAAATGCACTTTCCAGTGATGATGCGGCTAATGTACGACATTTCTAGTCTTCATTTACAAAAATTCCATTAATATGTGATTTCTTCAGTACGCATAGGTGTATGCATCGCAACCTCACCTTCTTTATGTTCGTGATACGCACACTGAGTTGATGTTTATAAACCAGTATGTATATACAGTTTGACCTATTGCAATTCGTTGTTGCGTTATTGCAATTCGTCTTAAATACATTAGGATCAGAATCAGCTTCACTCTTAGATTTGCGGTTGGACATGCTCAGACTCACGCTCGGTTTCAGCTGCCCATCCTTTATACTCTTATAACGAAACCTCTAAACTTTATATTTAAACGATTTGTTCTCGGTTTGAAATTATTTCTGTTAGGTGTATCCTGTACGTAGTGTAAGCCATGCGCAATAGGTTTTATTGTCTTTCTCTTCATCAATATTCTGAATGAAAACAGATTCAATGGCATCCTGCCCTGAACGACTGAAGATCTCGTTTCAAAACTGATAATATCCTACAGATGCATAAGTGTTATGCATTTTGATGAAACTGATGAAAACAATTTTGGTTATTGTGGAAGCACTCAGTATGAAGCGAATGAATAAAGTGAGTCCTCTAAAATATATCAACGAATAAACGGAACAGTCTGAAAAGGGACTGGATTATTTCATTGGGAGAAGACTCATTTATTGTAGCGCTGCTTGACCACGTTCTAAATATCATTTCAAAGCGCATGTAATTAATGAGCATTTTGAAGATAAATTAATACATAGCATTGATATTGAATAGCAGCATCTGAAAAGTGAAGCACGGAAAATTCGTTAGAATTTCAGGACTGACACGCATTTTAAACTAATAATTTAAGCTTTCATGGCGACAATTTCTTCTTACGATTCGACTGCTGGATATGATCACCAATTGCACTGAGTGATACGAGTTTATACTTGCTTATTAATATAAGCAACACTTTTGAATATTTTTAAATGAAAAATTGATTGGTTTGTTCTTTCTTTGAACAGATTCTCTTGTCATAAAAATTATCACTTGAAATGGCTGGATGAGACAGAGACAATTCCCAGTTTCCGGTCGTAACGAAAGCGCATCTTAACAAAGGATGCTGGTGATAATGCTTAAAGCAGTGATATTGTGACTGATCATAGGAATCCTTGATTCAAACGATTATTAGTTCAAACAACCCGAGAAATCAAAAATTTCATTCCTATTAGCAACGCAAACGCTTGTTTTCATTAGTTTATATTATATGCATACAATTATTGAGCAATATCTTAATGGCTAATATTTCTTTTTTTAAATATACACTCTCAAAAATGATAGAATTGAATAGAAACGCTGCCAGTCAGCAAGATCATTTCGAAGCAGTTTCCATCTAGAACAAGATACGCATGTTGCTAATATTTGATTCGCTTATCTCCTTCACAGAACCGCTCTTATCTGTTAGAATGCACGTGTGAAACGATGATCATGAATATGCATCTTTCATTCATTCCCTTCACAAATGTAACGATAGTAATTCACGACCATTATGTTCAGTGCTTGTGAACTCATTAGTGGTGAACAGATTAAAGAAAACATTTCCCGGAAAACATTCTCATTGTTATGAGTTGCTTGCGTCGAATGTCAAATGTTCGCAATCAGCACGCGATAAACGATTAACAAAAGTTTCTATATCACGAAACTTGAAGCCAGTGGTGAAGTCTTGAAAATCTGTCAATCGATGAAATAGTGAGAAGATTTATGTTCTCATTTCCTTTCCTGGTTTCCTACAAAAACCCAGAATTTTCTGTTTTGCTCATGCAAAATTAGATCGGTCCCAGTTGAGAATTACCCATAGAACATACTTCTGTAAGGTACAAACCGAGGAGTAAAATAATCGAGACTACAAACCTCGTTCCTTTCCATTCTCACGAGGATAGAAAAAGATTCAGTTTAATGTTGATCTAAATGAGCTGAAACGAGATGATTTCATTCGCTTTTGATCATTCGTATTGAAGTCGATAAAAAAGGTTTTTACACCCATTTGAGCGAAATAGCTAATGGAATCTTTTCAATCTTATTGATTCACTTCATGAATTTTACGATCTCCGTTTTGCTCTTGCAAAATTATTATAGGTTATGCAATAAGGTTGAGATAGAGACCCTCGATCAATTAAGAATTCTTTAAGGACACGGAAATCCTATTCTCACCCTCTCTCGGAGGCCGAGATCCTCAAACCTAACTTCACTTCCGACTAGTGACGTTTCTATTCCACTCAAACTGTTCCGTTTCTGTTCTATACCAAGAAATAGAACAGAACAGTTCCAGAAGAAAGGACAGGAAGAACATAACGAAAAGAAACAACTGGAGGGTGGAATAGAACAGAATAGAACAGTTTGCCAAAAATGTGGAACAGAAACATCAGCACCCTCGACTCAACTCTATTTTACAGTGATTTTGATCCATTTTTTGTTAAAAGAGTGTTGCTATTGATTTTGCATTCGATTACCACATCTACCAACTACCAACAGTTCCGCGATCACTTTCTTGCAATAATTTCTAATGCGAATATATTATTAAGGTTTTTTTGCTCCGAAGACAGCATTCATCGACTGAGTTGCATTCAGTGAATCAGCTCAACTGCATAAATACATCAATAAATAGTGCATGGTCTCATAGAATGGCAACCAAAAATGAAAAAAAAACGAGAGAGGAGGTATTAGAAACAAAATGAGAATAGAAATGTTTTGGATAAACGGTAACATTATGTTGATGTACAGATGACAGCTGATTATGTGCAATAGACGTGATAATTGACACATTCACTAACAGATTTTGTTTGACTTTCATTTTATTGCGGCATTATTTTCAAGTTCACTCCGTTCTCCATCATTTAATTTTGTTCACATCAGTTCAGCATTTGAAAAATACCAAAACGTTTCCGATTTGACGGGTTTCAGTTGAAAGTTTGGTCAGTTGAATGTTCCATCGGAGAGAAATGTGATCTGCGATTGTCATTTTCTGACTATTGTATTTCATCGGCATGCACTGCTTGATTGAGTAAAGATCAATAGTCAAAGCAAATATGCATCATTGCCGATGATTATTAGCCATATCAACCAGAAAATGAAACTTACTAACCAAATTGCCTTTTGAATCGGTTACATAGCCTTTTGAATATTGTTGGGTAACGACACTTCATACTGACGCCCAACATGTCTGTTCACGGGTTATCGAGTACGACTGTTGAACTTTTTAAAAGCGCAGCTACCCTCAGAAACAGTGGAATCTTCTCAATTATTCGCATATCCACGATTCAATAAAACGTACAATGTTTTTTGTTGATCGAAGTAATATCAATTTGGTTTGTTGATAGTCGTTCTCATCCGAAAGCATGCAAATGGAACAGCGACAAGACAACACTTCTGAGATGATGGTTTGTGGATGTGTTCGGTAAACACAAATCAGAAGCCTTGTCCTATTGCTGATGATCATCTTGATGAAGTGGTCATTCGTCATCAATAAATCTACTATGATCTAAAACAAAAGGATGCATGAATTTCAGCGAAAAGATGATGAACGAAACACTGAATTATGAATGTATCGTCGATGAAACTGACTGGATAACATGGATAATAACAGGACCGGTCACCACCATTGTGGCTGTCTTCGGTGTGTGCAGTAATCTATTCAGTTTGAATATTCTTCGTTCGCTCGCAATTCGGCCGTCAATTCGACTGTACTTGTCGGTGCTCGCCATTGCCAACTCATTCGTATCGTTTTGTAGTATTTGGTATTATTCATTAGCTGAAATACTTAAGCCGCTGTTTGGCACCATTTCATTCTTCCAGTAAGTTTACTTCACTTTTTTAATTTCTCAATTATGCACACATACTAGAGTGATGGAAGAGAGGCAAGAATTTCTTTTCTGGAATATCCGCTTCAGGTTGATTAAAAGTAGCTCCATGCAAGATTTCAGCCAAAAATATTGTACTTGGAGTTGATGCAATGCGCTCGAATAAAATTCGGAGAAAAATACGATGGGTTCAGTTACTAACTGTATGTATTCCACTGACGTGAGATCGCGAACGGAATCTTGCAGCGAAACTTAAAAACCCCCATCTAACAATGCTCTTTACAATGAATGGAAATACACGTCAAAGGACTAATATAGAGGGGAATATGTTATAAAAATACATTGATGCATATAGAAAGAGTATGGAAAGATCAGAAACCTTCTCAGTTATCGGTGGATACCGTCTTTTGGATCGAAAAAAAAGTGAGGAGAATTTGGTTTTTTGGCGAAATAAGTGAAAAAGTGCTTGAAAGTTCGTAGGGAGAAGATTCGATATCGACTGAACGTCAACAAGCATAAAGCTACAATGCATCACTGCATCACGACTCCTGTGACTTGTCCACTGATATGTTGCAGGTATTTGACAGTAATTATGCATCCAGTATCATTCCTTTCCATAACAGTCGCCGTATGGATGCTCTTAATTGTAACTGCAGCTCGCTACTTTGCCTTAGCCTATCCGTTGAGGCATCGCGTACATGATTCAGTGGAGCGTGCACGTTACGTTTATATTTGTATATTACTGATTGCCATTCTTTATTCCGTACCGACTCTGTTCGAAATGCGATTGTCAGATGCCTGTTCTGAGTTAGTTGTTTCGTTTTGTTCATTGTATATGGATTGATTCCTTGCATGAACCCATATTTGCAACACTCATCTTTGCAGATTGACTTCTGCTCATTGAGTAATTTACTGAATTATGAATCCAATTTGGTGACTCCATTAATGCATTCATATATGAGTTGCTGATGTATGTGGCAGCTCCGATTAACCCGTAACTAGTGTTATAATGTTTCCCAAATTGTTCTTTATTCAGTTTAGGCAATCTTTTTGTTCCATAATTTTCCCTTGGCGTCACCAATTTCGTCTTTCTGAGTATATAAGAATTTTTCAAAATGTCGTCTTAACCTCAGCTTTCACTAAGCACAAACTATCACTCATTAGTTTTTCTGCTCGATATAATTTATTTTTTAGGGAACATCTGCTTCATTCCACTCAGTTGCAGGTATTACAATGATTCTTCATTCATTATGGTAGTACCTACTGAATTACGTCTTAATCCAGATTATATCTCGATTTATTCGGTCACGTTGAACATGATTTTTATGACGGTTGGGCCATTCTGCCTCATAATGATCATGTCAATTCGAATGATTTTTATCGTTGGAAAAGCTCGTTCACTGCGTTATGGAATGGATGCCAGGTGATTGAATTCTAGTAAACAACGTTAAATGAGCGTGATTGTTGTGACAGCATCTGCGAAGGCTTTTTAGGAGCGTTTTTTAACATAGTTTTCGATGTTGACGAATTCAGCTAATCAACCCTCCAAAGAGTAACAGTATTTGTATCATGGTTCTTGATTGCTCAATAGCAACACTGTTTAATTGCTCTCTTTATATGGCAACTAACGTCAAAGGATGCCAGATTACTCTGGTCAGTCGTATTCACGAATACTTTTTCGCATCATCAGACAGAGAAAGCAGATCTGCTTTTTTTTGGTTCAGATTCAACCAAAAAAAAGAATTACTCTGCATTTTTTGTTCGAAAGAAAAGGAGTTTTGTTGATTCGTTGACTTGAATACTCCGAGTGATGAGAAACGAAACTGATCAAGAATCAAACAAACCATGTAATCAACGATTTTCATCGCCCTTCCGCTTTGAACATCCAAAAATTATTTGTCGCTATGTCAAGATGATGAGAGTAGCACTTGTTCAAGATAGAAACTGGAAAGTATTATTTGTCAGTTGCTCTCAGTAGCACAGTTCTCGATCACACCATTTCCACATCAGTTTTCAGAGTGGCTCTATCAGGTCGCAGCTCAAATCAAGAGAATACAACAGTAATGCTGTTGGTGGTAGCAGTTAAATTCCTTTTGTGCAACTATCTGATGATCGCCGTCAATATTTGGGAGCTCTTAGCTGGTTCAAAAATCGCAGTTGGAAAACTGTATAAGTTTATTGTCGAATTAAGTAACTTATTGGTTGTCGCTAACAGCGCATCTGATTCGATAGTTTATCTTCGATGGAGACGGAAACCAGCGCGCAAATCATCATATAGTAACGTTTTCAAGCCGTTGTTCACCTCTGATGAAGCGACCTTATTGAAGAATCAGTTCGAGTGTCATGTGAGTTGTGATGCATTTATTGGACTGTTAACTGCATTGCAAAGATTCAGTTAATAATTGCAGAGAATTTCGATTTTTTTTTGGATTTGTTTACACAATCGTATATTCGCACATTCTACACATAGGTTCATTAGTCTTTTTTGATAGCATTCGACAGAGAGATGTGAAACACTTCCTTACTGCAACCTTTTATCGTTGTCGCGTTACAGTGCTAAGGCTTCAGTAAGCATTGCATTTGATCGATGAATATAGAATTCACTCTTTTAAACATCAATTCAAAGGACCTTCATCATTCAACTGATCAGTTCTGTTGATGAGAAGTAGTGTCGTTTGCAGAAGTTCATTTATCTGAAGTATTGAAACTGGATTCAGTCTTTCGTTTTTGCTTCATTTACGAAAAAATATAAAAGAATGTACGATTCTATTCACGAATCAGCTGAATTTTCAGCCGTCGGGCAGAACAATCGGTTCAATGCTAGCTAAACTTCTGATACCAAACAATGAAGACATGGTGTACGAGGAAGGCATGCACATTCAATCCCTACTCGAGGAAATGGTGTTCTCAATCGGTGAACCGACTGCCGAGCAAAATATAGTCAATAAACTGAACTGCATTGGTTCAAGACATGCAAACCTCTCCATTCCGGCTACTAAATGGAATCAATTCAAAAATACTTTAGTTGAAGTAATTTTACTACGGCTAACTGTTTTTCACTCAGATCTAAGTTTCGCATTCAATCATAGCCAATACTTGCGTATTCATCTACAAACGCATACTTCTTTGACACCATCCATCCTTCTTCTTGAAACTGAAATAAATTTATCAACAACTACAACCTCTGTTAATTCGTTCCTATGATCAAGTCATTCTTTATTTCCACAATTTTGAAGCCAAATTTTTGTTCAACAGTACTTAGAAGATAATTTCCTCACAGTGCTTTTCCCCTTCGAAGAAGAAATGCAATCCAAATCTGTTTCCAAAAACGAAATCGTTTGCAATGAATGTTCGTAACGAAGTCATTCTACTCTCGATAATATTTCCAGAACATGTCAACAAATGAAACAAGGCATTTGTGGTCAAGGCTTGCTTGCATGCTCATCAAACAATTTCGTGATGGACAAATTTTTCTCAAACAACCATCGAATCCGTCAGTTTGCTGATTCGAACAGTTCATTCATTCCGTCGCAGTGATCCTCATAATTGTTTTTTTCATCGTGTAGTGATGACATTCGACTGACATTCGACCGGAAAAATCCGACAAATTTTGGTCGGAGCTCAGACATTCGGATTTCGACCGAACAAATTTAGAGTTCGGTCGGAAATACGAACATAGGAATCTCAAAATGTGAATTTGGTCGGATTCCAACCGAATCGGACCATCGCTAGCATTATGATCACTGATTTCATCGATGTGTTTCACTCGGCGAATGTAAATGGTTTCATCATAAACTATATTATTTCATTACTGGAGACAATTCCATGAGTCCGATCAAACCAACTAAATAATAAGAAGTTTTCGAACTTTGGAAGTTTAATTAGTTACTTTGATCACTGAAAATCTTCCATGAAACTCATGCTTATCACAACTTTTGATGTTCACGATCGCACAGCTATTCCACAATAAAACTTCTAACTGCCGAATGATCAGACGATAACGCTTCCGATTGGCAGTCTTTCATACAAATCTAAGCAACAAACAGTTATACGTGCTGAATTGTGCCGAATACGTGACAAACGCGTATTGATGAGCCACTTAATTATTGATTTATCCAATTATTTGATAATACAATGAAAAGGTGTCAATTACATGAGCTGATTTCAGTTCTTCAATCAAATGGTTTTCTTTTGCAAGTATTGCAAAAGCAATTATGCTCTATCATTATCGATTAGAATCAACATTAAAACTGCAGTAACAAGCATTGAAAGTGACACACACAACTTAAATATTCACTGTTGACAGTTTATGAACATGTGAATGACACTTCGTTAATTATGACATACGTTCAGAAACAAACACCACGTCGGAAACAGTTGTGTTAGAAGAAGAATAATGGAGAAGATAAATTTGACTGATGAATTGCATGTGGAGTTATCAGCGTATGACGAGCTGTCAGTGTGTTGTTGGCTGATTGTTTTCAGTTTAATGTCAATGAATTGATTCTGTATCTGGTTCTCTCGTTCAATTGTTGCGTTCTTTTGAATAATTCTCGAATTATGATCAGTTTTTGACAGGGATGGCGTCATTCGAAATGACGACGACGATGTGGTTGTTGATGATGGCATACATGTAGCGCATTGACACTGCACCATTTGACGTTTCGCTTCAGTAGTACATAGTCCTGATGAGTACATTCCGAGAATATCTGCTTCAGACATGTTGAAATCGCGTTGTGATAAACAGCGTACCTCAATGGCAAATTTAGTCAAACAGTTCATCGCCGTGCCATGCTCGCTTGATTAAACTCATCTGAGAATAAGTACTAATGTTTTGAATTGCTTTTTAGTGATGCGTTCATCGTTTTGAATGCAAACACAAAGTGCGTAAGATTAGTAACAGTGTTCATTCTTAAAGAAATTCATTCATTATGTCGACACTGACAATCGTTTTCGTTTTTTTCTGTAAGCAAAAATTGGTGAAGCAACACATAAAATGCAAACAAATTACCATTTGTTCCCTAACTAATACATGGCTAATTCTTACTTTATGATTTCGGGTTTTCAGATCGTATTTTTCACTCGCAGAGCCGAAAGGCCTAATAGTATGTTTGTTGCACCTAATGATTAGTTCGAGCTCATTAAGACTTGTTTACTTGACAGAACCAAACAACCAAGCCAGGTAAATTTTTGTATGATTTAATTGTGCTTTTTTTCTCATTCGTAGAGGAGAAAGGGCAAATATACTGATTGAGATATTGTAGGTACAAGCCAAATACAGAATAGACTGATTGAGATAATTATAGAGAATGATGAGCAAATTTTCATTAAAAAATCACTTGTATGTTCACGTGTGAACTCCAAGAAAGTTCATGGATTGTCAAGCAGTAAATGAGTTTATCCGGTAACGAATCAGCACATTCGACGATATTCAACGAACAGCGATCATCCACCGTACGAACATCCATGCAATATTCACAACGCTGAAGATACTCGTTATCAGTGGAAGTTATAGAAAGAAATGATTCAGTCAGTATCTATTCCACTGATAGCTATAACAAAAGCACTTGAAACAACACAAGCAATCCTCGAAGGTTTTTAGTTTGACTAGGCATTTGCATGTATTTGTTATCAAATAGACTAAAGGAGAATAACTGGAGACTATTATCGCAAAAAAAGTGAAAGCCTCACTGAGTTACTGTTTAACTGTTCAAAGTAGCCATGCTCAAATTTCAGTGAAAAAACTGAGAGATTATTTAACAAGTGACGATTTCTTCTTCTATGAATTCCATTTGATCACTTCCAAACTAACAGCGAAAATTTCCAGTAAATTAGGAAATGACAAACGCTTACTGAATTTGTGATCGTCATTAGGCATTTATTATGAAAGTTGGTGCCTATCACTGTTCTCATTGCATAGCGATATAGAATCGTTCGAATATTTCATTACTTGCAAAAATGTTGTAATAAATAAGGACAGCTTAATGATGCGAGTACACAACGTTTACCTACCTGAACATCATGAGAATGTGGCATACCTAATGATACGGCCAATAGACACAACGACGTACAGTTCATGACGATTGCAAATAATAATACGGTGCGCGTACGAAGAATCTGTGCTACTGTTATCGCTGCTGTGTTGGCGATTGTTTGTTTTTTTTGGTATACTCAATTTTGTGAAGGTCGTTTCGGTGTTGAATTTTGATGAGGAACGGAAACAGAGAGAATGAAGGATTTAAGAATGTTGAGAATAAAAACGTATTATCATATGCACATAGTTAATCAATGAATATGTTCGTAAGTGAAGAACATGATTCATTTGATTCGTTCACCGGCGTGCAATTTTATTTTGTTAATCTCTGATATCGAGCTGGAACGGAGGGTGGATGTTATTAAATGCGATGCAAACAACAAAGCGATTAAACAACTGATTGCTTTCGAATCGGTCAATCATCAAGATTTGTTACGTTTTAGAACGGAACAGAATAGAAACGATGTCTTTATGCTGTGAAAATGACTTCATTCGTTGGTCAGATGACGATAACTGTAAACGTCACATTGATCAGCTTGAGGTCCTTATAACACCAAGCTGTATTCTGTTAAGTTTCGATAAGCCTTCCTCATACGTTCACATATTCTGAGTGCTCGTAAACATTTACTTCCAAGCTTAACGTTTATATTTTCTACCTAGCTGAATAGTTTTCTGCTCATGGGCAGAGAACTGGAGAGTGGAAACGCAAGCAGAACGAAATGATCTGAGCAATAAAGATCTTTCAATAACTGCTATACTACTAATGACGGTACGGTGGTTTACTTTGAAATAACTGAATAGTACTGCAACAGTAAAAAACGAGCAGACAAACATTTTGAAAAAATGGAATGTTTCGTGCGAAAGCACTATGCAGTGAATTCATTTTTTTAGAACGACTTTTTCGCAACCATTCACCGATCTTTTATTTTCAATTTTATGGTCGTATTTTTTTAGGAAATAAGCAGCAATTTCAGATGCATAACTATATCAAGAAAAATTTCTTCGTGGACAAAGAACTATTGAAATTTACAAAAATTGTCGATGTTAAAAAACTTTCGTTGTAAGCAAAAATCGACAAAGTGCCATTGAGATTACATGGATATGCAGATGACGATTGCAAACAATTGAACAGACAATAGTCCATTCTCCTTTAATTCATTTCGTATCCAAAGTTTGAAACGTTTGATCAAGTGATCATTATCCATCTGATCTAATACAATAATTTGAATGCTGCTAATCGTTAAGTTTTCTCCATTCGGCGTTTGCCACAACAGACGACAGCAATTGCGATCTAATCGTACGTAAAATTTCGTTTGGTTTCACTGCGTATTGTCACAAACCGGATCTTCTTCCTCACAGAAGCATTTTCATATATCGGCCCTGAACACTGGTACTGAAGGCTCTGTTGGAAACGATCATGGCAAACCCGCGAAGTTATAATTTCACTCTGTTCACCAAAAGAACTGACGCAACCGAACAACTTCAAAAAAAGTTATCAAGTGCTGATGCAGCAACATGCGTACCCTGTGACCCTCTTTCTCATAGTACTTCTATGGTATCACAAGAACTCAAAAATTCGAAGTATACTTTCGAAAAAATCAAAAGCGAATTTGCTGGAAGTATAATTGATTTTCAGTAATAAATATTAATGCTGAAAAATAAGTAAATAAGTGCATTAAACAAGTGCATCGCAATTATTGTAAAATTAAAATCGCATAAATTAAACAAAATTTACGTATTTATCAGCAGCACTGGTATGCTTTTGATAACGAATTATACAATGAGTAAAGATTTCTAAACCACTAAAAGCAATAATAATCACCTAATAAGAGCAAAATTCCATGCCACAGACTCATTGAGTACTTCCAAACAGTTTACTTCAACAATTTTCTTGATGCGTATATTGGTGAATAATATGTGATGGTCACTATGAAAAGTTGAAACGAATCATCAGTTACTGACAAACGAATACACTGCAATGTTATTGTTGAAGTAATACAGGGTGACTGTGGTTCAAACGTGGCATTATTCACTAGAATTGAGAAGTGCATCCTCAAAACAAAGAAACTTTGTTTATTTTCATCTCAATAATGCACTGTTGTTTCATTCGATTTTTCAAATGCTCCGTGATGCACTCATTAATTTATCTCACAACAGTTCGTTATAAATCGCTCAACCGTATGGTTAATCATCGTTTCACTGCGATGTCCCTTAAGACTAAGTTGAGAACGTATAAAAGCTATGCATAGTGGTATTCAAATAATGCATTACTCTGAAATGAATTCCGATTCTCATACTCATTTCATTTATTGATGGCAAATGGGATCATGAATAGCCCATATTGTGAATCGTCCACAATGTGTTGCTATTGATCGCGAATATGAAACGCATCTTTATACCGGTATTTCGAAGCTTTTTAGTTTATTCGGATCACATAAACAATGAATGCACTACGTCCCTAATGGCCATTTATTCTAAGACGATTCGCTGCCGACAGCGCATATTGATGAGTACAGTCGATCGTTCCTCCGTTACGGCACATAGCTCGTGAGCAACTCAACCAGTAAGTGTATTCTATCAGTTAACCAATTAATAATACATGAACTTTGAAACGCTGAAGATGTCATGATAGAAGCAATGAACAGTCATAACTACTCAAATAATATTCAACTGCATTCGCATTCCAACGTGGAAGCAATTGAACCATAACAATTAGTCGTCACTATTGCACATAAATTGGTAATTAATTTGACAATCATTGCGAGCGACTGCAACTTCAAAACGGTTTATCAACTAGGATATAAAGCAGACTGTTCAAAACGATCCATCTCTAATAATTTATTGATTCTGTTACAATTGTGACTATCCTTTCGACGTAATTCTTCATCTACATTTAGTGATACTTCGCTTTTAATGAGCATTCTCCAAGGAAGTCATAATTTTTGAAATGTTTTAGATTAATAAATTAAACAAAATTGGCAATTCAGTCGCATCTCCGCTGAAAGTGGTCAACATAAAGAAATGAGTCTGAATGATAGAAAACCATGTTCTGTTATTCATAATTTTTAACTCCATATTCACCCAAGCACAGTTACATTAAAATTTTACGAGCAAACGAAGAATACAAAATGAATGAAAACATTTTAAAATATCAAAACAGAATTCGAAATATATCTGAATATGACGAATGTAATATAAACTGATCATCTCCATGAACCAGAAAATACACATAATTTGCTATTATTGTAGAATAAAGAACAAAACTTTAATAGAATCCTCATGATACAAAATAAAATAATGGTGGCGTAGGACGGCCATGGAAATTCATTGCAAATAGTTTGGACCAGCCAAACGTTCAATCTCAAAGAACATACAAATGAATACCGCATTTCCTCGAATAATTCCCTTGGAGAACAAACACTTCCTGATTCTTTGCCAAGAGAGAACATCTATCATGGAATGTGGATACAGAATCGTCAAAATTTTCGGAGAAAAAAGGCGACATTTTCCGAGCCGGGAATCATATCTATATGAGTGGGATAACTATAAGGATTGAAGAAAATCAGAGTGCACCAATGAGATCTATTTTCATACTTCATGATGACTGGTGAATAATTGGATCAGTAACTAGTGTCGTTAAGGTCAATTTCAACAATCGTTTGAAGTGACTGTTACAAAAAAAGTTATCCACAGAAGAACAGATTATTGCGCTTCTTCTGTTTCAATACGATTAAGTGTTTTCTTTCTTCATGAATGTGATATATCTGAAGATATGTACATGCTTTCNCACTTTCATGCTAGACATCTATTCGATAAGAAAGGTGTATTAACGAGAGAATGGCATTATTCGAGGACGTACGCTAATCTACAAAATAATCAACATCATTGTAGCATGCAAACAATTCTCATCGACTCAGTGATGTAAATTGTTATATTCGAACTGAAGGGGAAAGAATGGATTTCTGCAATAAAAAAGATAAAGATCGCGATTTGGATAATCAATTCGTAAAATGCGAAAACCAACGACAGGTTAGATGCAGTACAATTCCTTCAAGGGAAGTGTATAATGGGATGACATGTATCAAATTCATTTCATTCCATTCTGCAAACCTGACGAACGACTGTCGTTGCATTAAAATAATCACTTTCCTCGAAAGGATGACAACTCGAAAACGCGAAATGCATTTCAGCACCATCACACCTCTATTCTCAGTTTCATATGTGACTTCACTATTCTAGAAAAGTCAATTCAGAATTTTATTTGGACAATTAATGATTATTTTGCTATTCACGCAGTACCTCTTTAATTCATTCGAATCACTAAGTTGGCTTCTACTAAGGATTTTTAGATAATCGTCCTTTCGAAGACATTACGGGAGTATGGTTTGTTTTGACGGAACAGCAGAATAAACATGTGTAAAGAAAGAACACTGCAATATGTTTCGGTCACTTAAGAGAATGTTAAGACCTTCCAAATGGCTATTTGAAAGGATATAATTCACTTCGATGGATTTAAAACGACTTTGGATCATACCAATAAAATCGACTGAATTCATGACGATGATCAATAAAATAACGGATGTGTGACGATGCTAAAATGCATCAGTTGCATTGAATTGGTTACACAAAATAGAATAACAGAACAGATATGTAGATAGGGCTACACCTTTTGATCATAGGTCTTCTGAACAAACGGTGCTCGACCATTCGTTCATGTAAGAATCTAAGTTTTGCCAGAACATCATCTTACGTTTCAGTCTGGGCCTAATCCTACACTTAATTCTGACCAACACTCCAATCAGTGTTCTTAAATAAATAGCTAAAGACCACAGTAGGTTTGTAATCAAAAGTTGTCGTGCCACGATCCAAATCATACATGTAAGGGGTGATGGGCGACTGGTGAGCATGTGAGTGAAACATCTGCACCACTTTATGCTCTGCACAAATACGAGTCGCCGCAAGTGGAGCCGGCCAAGATTCGATGCGCGAAAGAAATGGCTGTAAACCGTGCAATCATCTTGTTACAGACTCAACGTCATCTTCGCTCACTAATAACTGAATTATTCAGCGTAATCCTACAGTAATTGTCATCAATTGTACACCAACCACTTCTGCTATCCCAACAACTCCGCTCATGCTCGTCAATTTTCCGAATCATCCGTCCATTACTGTTTACAACAATAAAACAACAATGTTCAGCACTAAATTCATAAATATTAAAAACCATACATCAGATTAGAGTAACGAGAGAAAAACAATCCCATCAGCGGAAGTTATGTACTGAACCGACAATTCCAATTTGTAATCAGATTCTCAATTCCTTTCAATCCATAAAAAGCTCGTGAGTGAGATTGCAATACCTAGATCATCAATATTTAGTGATCAGACAAATTGCATAACACGATTCCATACCACATGCACTATCACGCTCAATTTTAATCTCAATATGACCATACTAAATTCGCTCGCTACTGAAGTGTGCATCGAAAACGGCAAAAAGTGGCATTTCCAATTTGAAATGAAAACATCAACTGCAAAAACACATGCATAACGAAGTAAAGTACAAAGCGAAAGTAGGTAGAATGCGAGAAGGAAAGATGAAAGTGGAATCATCGTGAAATGCGCACACATGAAGTCTTCGAAAAACGATGAGTAACTAGCTGAAACGTTGAGGTAAACCAAAGGGCACCGCGTTAAAATTAAATGCCGTCTGCATCATGTTGATCTCATCGGCGCGCAGAACTCGAGTTTTTCGTAGCCGTTTCCATTCACCGGTTCGATAATCCATCTGCAAATATCAGTGTGATCAATGCGAGTATCAGAAAAAAACATTGCTACTTCCGTCAATTATCAATTTTCAAAGGAAGATAATTGGCACAACAAACCTGGAAATAAGTTTCCACACGCAGTCGTTGCGTAGATCCGTCCAATCGCTTTTCATCTTCGTAAGTTTCAGATAACTTCAAAGTCACTACATCACCCATGTGAGGGAATGGATGAACTGAAAGACTGGGAGGAGCATTAAAAATTTGATAATTATATAACCATCCTGTTCACGAATGCAATTCACAGGTCACTAGTTCTACCGACAATACGTTCATGATGTTTGATGGAACTGACCTTTGTTGCCCGATAAAAACGCTGAAACCATTCGATGTCCCTGAGCGTCGAGAGCGTTTGCTGAACTCAACATTTCATTACACTGACGACGCAATGCCGCGTCACGTTGTTCAATCTAAATGACGGGTATAGTTTATTATACCAACCTTAGAAATAATTCAAATGATGACTGACAGAGCACAACCCTAAACAAATCAACATAATCAGCTTAATAATAATAATAATAATAATAATAATAATAATAGCACGTGATTAGGTTCACAATTACATTGATAAATGAAGTGTCTCATAACATTTACTGAATGAATGGTTTACCCGAGTCTGCACAGGATTAACCAATACAGGCTGCTCACAACCCATCGTTGGCTGTTCCCTTACATCAGCATATGACGGTTGCTTTACGACTAATGGAGATGGCTCAGCTGGTTCACCAACTGCTGCACTCTTCGGCTCCTCTGACGAAGCGGATGGCTCTGTAGGCGCTTCTGGAGCGCTTTTTATCGTATCAGCATTCTCTGAACAAGTGGACGTTGTTGACTTCATCGATACTGAACGACGAGCCTCCTGAAATAGTGTCCGTTTACTGAATAATAATAACAAATAATAATTAATAATAATAATAATAATAATAATAATAATAAGTGACATCAATTTCTTATTTTTATATGAAATTTATGATGAGAAAGATAAATTAATGAGACCTTCGGTCTTTCACTTGTGCACTTTCTGTTCAAATTTATTCTGATTATATGAAAAATTTGATCTGATATCATCGAGACATTATCTGTGGAGAATGATTGTAGCGAATATGCATTTTTGAAACAAATCAAATAAACTGAAGCTACTAAACGAGTAAATATGAACCTATAAAGAAAAGTCTGATAGCTAACGACAAAATTAAACGTGCGAATATGGGCAGATAACACGATAAAGAGTACACAAGTCAGTGAAGTCGCCTTATTGGCACTCTAGCTTAAGTGAATAATCAGGAAAAAAATTGTACGAACACATATCAGAAACCTTTTCAGCTTTTTCAACAAGTAATTTTTTCTTGAGTTCCTCCTTCTCCAACTGTTTCTTTGCTTTCTCTTCAGCTTCTTGTTCTCGTCTTCTCTTCTTCAGCGCATGAGGTATTTCATCAATATCAATCAATTTAGCGCCGCCTTCACGCTTCGCAAGTTGCCTTTGAAATTTTCTTGGTTCATTGGTGAAACCAGCGGATAGTTTACAGGTGTTTACGGTAGGAATACCTCGCATTGGCACTGCAGTGATATTGCATATTAAATCTTGCCCATTACGGCTTACTCTACTTGTGGAAACTAATGAATCAATTGTGCAATAATTAGGGAGATATTGTAAGAAATAAAACACGATTGTTCAGAAAATAAATTCGCCGCTGATTAAGAATAATTAAAAAGTGAGAGAACGAAACCTTTCCGATTCCGTTAACAAACACGTGAATTTTTTTCGGATATTTATGGAGATGCAATTAAAAATCACAAAAAATTGAACTTTGGTTCGCAGTGCAAACGAAAATGAAAATTAAAGATAAAAATACGAACAAATTTAGGAGAGAAAAGAGCCTGCATGCACTCACAATCATTATTCGGCTTTCTTGCTGTACTTCGCATACGAATAGGAAAACTCGTTGAATATACACCGCTCTTCTGATTTTTGGTCGGATTTGAACCCACTTCCGCAGCTGAAAATTTTTACGTTTGAGAGTAATTATGCTAAAAATCCAAAAAAACAACAAAACAACAACTGATCACAATGAAATGATGACGAAATATAGACGGAGGGATTTATATAAACCTACATCGAACGAGATCAGCCTTCAGAGTGGATGATTTCGCTCGTCGGCGTAAATTGAAATGTTTTCGCACATCCACTTCGCCAATTCCATACCGACACTACAAATGAAAACGATACTTAAAGAAAAAAGCGTAATCAAATAATGGAATGAAAATATGGGAAAGAAGATAGCTAAGATACTTCAGAATCAAAAGATGAATAGAAAAAACAAAGTCATTGAGCTAGAGACCTTAATCGCAGATTGCGACACAACACATTTATCCAATGGCAACAAACGCAGATTATCCTCTGCTGCATGCTTCTTAACTGAAACGTGTTCAGATGCAGAAATTGAACAATCGGTTAAATTCACAACATGATCACAACAAAATAAATTAAATGAGCAACAATTTTGGATTCGGAAAATTTTCAAACGAATGAACGATACCAATTTCAAATGAAAAAATTTGTGTTAAACGGACAGAGATCTTAAAAGCATCTTCTCGATCAGGCTCATTCTCGCGTAACAGGCTATCGATTCAGATCAATGTGGTTCTTGGCATATGCGGCTTATCAAGTGAAACTTCAAATAAAATATTCAAGCGTTTGAAGAGAACTAAAACGAACCAAGATAAAAGGCGTGGTAGCACCACAAGATTGCGAATGGAAAAAAGGTGTATACAACAGAATTTTGTGGATTAAGACATTCACAAATCGTAATTTCAGTAGTCATTCACACTTGTATGGTTGAAGTGATTCATCAAAATGCTTGAAAAGCTGGAAATCTTCTCACCCTCTACTTTCGGATTCAACAGTTTTCTTGAGTGAACGGTACAATAAGAAGAGAATACCGATTTTTCTCAATTCGTCCAGTGTTTTGTAAAAATAAGAGCTGGAATCTGATGGAATCGGAATCACACAGCGACGGCTTGGGAAGTCTCGATACATATTTGAGACAGTTTCAATCCAGTCATCTGCATCTCTTCTAGCCAGGTCTAACAGGTTCAATAGAGGATCCTTCCACTAAATCATTTAGAATGTAAAATGGTTGTTTCAACAAAGACATACATTGCAAAAGTTTTTGATATAACGTTTGAAAGCCATCCCTAACAAATTCCAAAGATTGAGGCGGCAGATGGGGTTTTTGAGAAAAATTCAACACGAAATTAATTCAACGGCGATAAAATGATGATGAAATAAAATCATACCATGGTCATCAAGCGATAAGACAAATGTGGAATGGCAAGTACAATCTTCAGCTTGACGTGAGATTCCAGTGCTTGAAAGCAAGTTTCCAGTTCGACCAGCATTTCACGTGACAGTAACGATGCTGCTTGACGTCCACTCCATAGTTCATTATTATCGCCCAATTTGTTATCCAACCATTTAACCAAATCCAAATCACGCAATTGAGCACTTGGCATTAACATAGTGCTCTGAATTTCAGACAGTTTTCAACTTTTACATGAATATTCGGTTATCGTTCAGTCGGAACTTTCCGTATGAATCAATCAGTACGAATTTATCAAAAACAATTAAAAACGTTCAGTGAAATTATGATCATATGAAACACGACGCAGTGAACATGCCCAACATAACCATACATTAATTCAACGAACACAATCGCATCTTCAACAAATCTCAACTTCAAAGAATACTTAAGTTGAACCATCACAACCTCAAATAGCCCATCCCCCGCCATTTATGAAAAAATTATTATACAATAATATTATATCGAATATTGAAGCCGCCAAAACAATTGGCGTCGATCCAACGTGGTCGCACTATGGGTGTGTGGATGAACTAGACAATGGGCGTGTACATAAATACAGAGAGCAACGTGCGTCAGCGGTTTTCACACGTCTGGAAACAGAAGGGAGCATGTGCTTGCGATGGTGAGAGCAACCACAGATGGACGACGATTCGTGCGATTTAGACACCGTCAAACAGAAAGAAGGAAGGATTCGAGCAAATCAAAGCGCCACTTTGAGCTATGCACACTCAAACTGATCTACAGCTGTTAGTGTTAGGTGCAAATATGACGGTGATTCCGCTCTCGCTCTCAAATTCGCATCGTTCCAAAAATCGCTCACTTCGCTGATTTCTATCGTGGTCATTACCAGCAATAAGTTTTGTGGTCATCACGGAATTGAAACATGAAACGAACAGAGAACACAAAGACTTGAACAACATTATAAGAAGTATTTATCCAGATAAAACGACAAAAAAAAGCGAAACCACTTTCACGTGACGTGCGTTCGTTTGCACTGTTCGAGCTCGTTGATCGGGCTGACCAATGCGTGCCAGGAACTCCAAGTGATACGTATTGAAGATGGGCTTACAAGAAACACCTAAATAGTACATTTAAAGTATCCTGAATCATATTTGCTGTACTAAACGAACAAAGGTATGACAGCGATAGGTTAACTTGATAGAACTGTATGGTACGATTCAGCTGCGTTGGAAGTGCTGCCATTATTGTGCTAATAGCAAAGAAGCAACTGACTGAAACTATAATTCGAAATCTAAAGGAGCAAGTTCAGTAGCAAATATGCTGGAAGATATTATCATATAACTAAAGCAGCATTAGATTATTGACGAGGTTGGCTTATCAGGGCTTGAATTGTTTTCCGATGGAAGCGTCGTAAAAATTTAATCGTGTGACTAAATGTTCGAACTGTATTTTAACATGAAAAAAATTTGTTTGTCAAAATCTCGTCACCAAAATCTATAGAAAGTTTTTTGCCATCTTAGTGATCTCTTTATTTTGATAAAATTTTTCTTATTTTTTCTTCTTAACTACCCTTTTGTGACGCTGTCTCGTTCGTTTATCAAAAACGCATGAACTTTTTACAGTCTCGATATATTTAGATTACTGCCTTACCAATTACCAGTTAAATAAATTACCAATAAAAGCTCGAATGTTCATGATTCCTCTTAAAAATTACATGGCAACTATAAGGAATACCAGATAAATGAATCACAATCAAACGAGTGAATAAATCAATGAATCAGTTGAATAAACGAACCCGATCAGAATCACCCTCCGAACTACCACTGTTTCAGTAAACTTTTTTTCGATAGGAATATTGTCGGGAAATTTTGTTTCCGTAAGTTTTGAAAGTATAATTTTTTGGATTTTTAAAGATTGGATATTACTTTGGTTTAAGAATGATCGGATACTGCATTAAGAAAAGAAATTTAAAAAGGATTATACCTTCTTTTCTCGCTATGACATGTCTTCTCGTTACGTTCCAGAAATTTTGTTTTCATACCTTTTGAAAGAAAGATTGTATGATGAGTTTGATTATACGTTTTGTGGCGTATATGATGAGACGTATCTAAACTTGAAACCCCTCACCTTTGCTCGCGTCTCACTCTGTTATTAAGTTGCAGATCGTTCAACTTCGATTTGTTAAAGGATGATTTTCTTTTGTTCGAATGATGGTAGTGAGGGTTTCATCATAGTGAGGATTTCATACTATGTTTCAATTATAATCGTACGTTTTAATAATCATAATAAAATGGCTATAGTAATTATAATTATAACTTACGAAGAAATCTAATAATCATAATATCGCACTAATAACACGGAGATTATGGATATTGTATCAAAAAATACCAGCTAATGACATCATCAACTACGACTCGAGTTGCTAGTGTTGCATATACGGGTTGATAAACATGCATATTATATTCTCATTTCTAGAATTTGATGTGTTTTAATAGACTCCAACTACTCCACTCTTTTCTGTTTCTTGAATGACACCAACTATAAGGTGACCTCAACAACCATTCCACTCTGCTCAATGAGTATCAGCTGACGACATCAACTATAAAACTCAACAAGTTTCTTGTACTCTGCTCCTTTCTTGCTTCTCGAGGTATGAAAACCGCTGACGCGTGTTGCTCTCCCTCTGTCTTTATACACGCCCATTGTCTAATTCGGCCCACACTGCAAAGACGAGCCATATACAACTACACGCAAAATTGTATATTATTNAGGGGGGGGGGGGGGGGGGGGGGGGGGGGGGTTGAGGAGATACCTTAGCTAGAAACGCTGGAGACGAGTTTGTTAGGTTGAACTCTGCATCCCTCGCTATGAGTGATAAGCAAGGAAAATTGGCAAGGTATGATGTCGTCGTGGTGTTACTGTTCAAAAGTTTTATTCAAAAACGTGACCAGTATGTTCTTTCCGGATTGAAGCAGTTAAGTGATATCATCTGAAAAAAAAAACGCATTCCATTTTTTGTCAAATTTTGAAACCGCATCACATGTCTTGGAAGTTTCTTATAAGCTCTCTTTTTTGTTGAAATTTATGATTAATTTGTAAATTTGTGAAAAAGTGTTTGTTCAAGGTACATTGTGTGTGTGTGTGTGTTCGTAATGACGTTAATTTTGTAGAATTAGTTTAAATAATTCAGCGCAAAACAATACACTCCACTGTAACAATAGCTCAGCATTTAATGTGTTTTCCCTTGACCGATTGTCGTTTAAGACAACCGTCGGTATCGGCTTTTATTGATATACACACATACACACACTGTATTACTCTTTACACAGTTTGCCTTGAAACATAGGAAATGCGCATCCAACAGCAAGCAGATTGCACTGAATTCATTGGACTTCATCGTTTTATACCAGGCAATCACCGATCACACATAAATGAATGTGGGTTGCGTTAAAAAATTTATTTTTTAGTTCGTTTCTGCATATGGTGATGGTGTAGGTTGTTAAATTTCATGCATTGGATTTTCGTATTTTTATAGCATGACTGTGTTCATCTGTTATATGCCATAATGCACCGCATCTAGTCGTGATCATCAACCAACTTCTGTGTTTAGAAAACGCAGAAGCACTCGATTCGGTAACGTAACGTGTTGTGAACGACCGTTTCAACGCTCTAGTTTCCACTCTAAGCCATCAGTTTTTTTTCCGATATCATTTGAATCGTTGTCATACTCCATTGTTGACATTACTATCCCGGAGAAAGCGGAACAAAGTTTTTCGTTTTTTTTTTGAACCCAAGAAATTGCAGAATGAAGAGAGTGTTGTTTCTTGTAGATTTTCTGTAAAAATGTGTATTCGTAGTATGAAGTTGCATAAAACTCTGCATTTGTTTCTACGTTTTCTGCGGTACACATGCAAGCAGCATTCGATTCTTGTTTACAGTAAGTTGCCATAGCCCCACACCCCACTGCGTTTGCATCCATGATCAAATCGCGATTATGTGGTTGAAATTAATTCTCTCTATGTAAAGATGTATTTTATGTTGCAGGTGCAATGTCAGTGGTGTCTGAAAATTCAACTAGACGTCCATCACAGCGGAATATACGCTCTGCGAGAAGCAGTTTACCCAGAGGGCGCGTTAGCTCATCGGATGTCACGGCACCGTTTCTTGTACCTCATTTTTCTGCAGCTGCCAGTGAAGTGAGTGTTTGTTTTTTTCTTGATACTATTCTTTTATCTTTTTTTTTGGTTCAATCACTCTTCTTCAAAATGATGTCTTACGCAGTGTGGCACCGAATGTTAGTTTCAGTTCTTCAACAGAAATCTGCTTTCATTTTGAATCCATCAGATCCGCTGCGCTGCATGTTTCTATGAAAATTTTTTCTGATTGAAATATTCATTGCGGAATGTTCTCTACGATGTATGCAGCATTCTAGGTCTTACTGACGCTAGAGAGTATCATTCAAAAAAGTGTGATATAAGTTTTCATTTAGATACAGGCTGCTGGTGATGGTAACCGACGCAAAATCCGGTCTAGTCTGAAAGGCATCAGATCCATCCCAGAAACTGGGTCTTTTAGAAAATATTTCAAAACTTTTGAGTCGGTGACAGTTTCTAAATTCCAGGAATTTGAAATTCTTTGACACCTGTCAAGGTCTAGGATCGATAACCGACTGAATAATTTCTGGAAACCGAAATGCGTGCGAACCGGAATTCAGTCAGTCAGTTATCGATCAGCTAAAACTTTTAGTTTCTGCCGACTGAAAGTGGGTTGGTTGTCATCATTGCAGTCTGCTGCACTGTTAGTTGCTAACGCCAGATATTTAAAGGTGATAGTCATGAATCTACTTTGTAGGGTATTAAAGCAAGTTGTGATGAAGATAATTGGGCTGAAAACACCACAGTCATAACGGGTAATACAAGCGAACATTCGTATAGTGGTGCGGCAGATCGTGCATTCGTCGTACCTGTGGGTCGAGTTGTTGCCAGAAGATGCTCTCGTTTACTCTGGCTTTCTAGTGCACTCTTCATTTCGTTACTTTCTATTGCATCCTCACCTACTATGGCATTGTTGCCATTTGTTCTCAGATATACAGAATTTGAATGGCCTGAGGTATGTTCTCTTTCAATTTGTTGATTGTTTTTGTCTTAAAAATTGATAGCCTGAAGCAGCATCACATGCTTTTTACTGCTATGTCATGTCGTATCGAAATCTGTCAGTTACGGCACCTATCTATCATAAATTGCCTAGAACTTCTTGTGATTTGAATATACTGTAGCTAGTGTACCAACAGTGAACCGAAATATTTTCAATATTACTCATACATTCATTTATCGTGTTTTTGGGCGAATGACGGATGGGGTAGGACAAAGCTGGTGTATAGTTGTGCAATTTTTGAGGTATGGATGAATTCAATTTCAGGTAGTATGTTTGGCTGATTGTCAAGGATTATTATTAAACATGACGATGAAAACGTTGCTGTTGATAGCCGCCTTATGGGCAATGTATTTTCGACGTGCGGCTGCAGATATGCCACGCTTATTTGTGCAGCGTATAGCATTGATATTTTGTGTATTATTTATTCTGTTCGCATTTTGGTTGTTCTACGTGGTTCGCGTTATACTGGAACGTCAAAATGATTATCGCGTTGTTGTAACGTATTCGTTATCACTTCTCGACGCACTGCTCTATTTTCACTATATTTCGGTGATCATTCTCGAAATACGTCTATTAAGACCCGAATATGTTGTTAGTGTTGTACGTGACCCCGACGGTCAATCGCGTACATTCACTATCGGACAAATGAGTATTCAACAAGCTGCTGTTCATGTGTTACGTACCTATACAGCTAAATTTCCTTCGTATAATCCACATCTTGACAAGACCACTTCGGGTGTATCGCGATTTCGATCTGGTATTTTATTAGTTTCGTTTCATTTTGTTTTCACTTTCTCTGTTGTATAACGTTAGAATGAACTGACTCTTGATCATGAAAAGCATTTCAATACAATTCTTTTTGCAGCAAGAATCATTCATTGTTTTAGTGTTATCTTTTTTCTTCTTTAAGTAGGTATTTATATATAATTGCTTCTTTTATTTCTGTATGAAATTTTGATCTTCCAATAGACGAGTTCACTTCCACAAGACAATTTATGACATCAGTTTAGTTTTAACATCGTTACCGTATGAGAAAAAAAGCTGACAGTAATCCAAAAGTTATCGAATCTGAAGTGTGAACGTTGCTAAATACAGTAACCGTTTCACGTTATATTCACTAAAGATATGACTGTTCAGGTGTATCACAATCATCGGGTGGCTTCAAAATGTATGATATCGAAGGATTAGGTACTGACTGTACCATCTCAGAGGCGAATGCTCGTGTTCTAATGGAAGCAGCTGCGAAACGTCGCGTTGGTGGCCATAATGAACGTTTTCATGAAATTATGGAATGGGAAAGACGACTTCAAAAACGTAAATATCGACTGATTAGTACCACCGAGGATGCGTTTGCTGGTGTTCAAAGTGTTGCGGCTAACAGCCCTCAGAATCAGGTTATTTTCTATAATTATCTCAGGTCTAGTTTGGACCGGTCTCGTCTCTTGTCATAATCATGATAGTAATAATCCAACCTGTTAGCTAATCAGCCGAGTAGAAACCTATCACAAGTAGCTTACCTCTCATCAGCATATTGTGTTATTCATTACAGTTCATCTGTCAGTTTTGGAATTTTTCTTTCTCCAGGTACAACTTTCATTGGTTTTAAAACGGAAACCAGTTGGCTGAATCGAAAACTCATAACTGCGTAAAAATCTTCGTTGTTTAATGATAGATGTAGTCGGCACTGTGTGGTGTTGGTATCGGTAATGCGCCATTGATGTTTTCGATCAGCAGTTGACAATGCATGCCATTATTGCATTCGTTTTCAGATTCTAAGCGAGCCGATGGAAGCAGTTGGTGCTGCTCAAGCAGTTTTCGCGGTCATTGCACGTCCACTAAACAAGTATCTTAAACTGACTCGTCAGCAACCTCGTCATACAGCTGATCAAGTGGTCGCTCATTTGGCTCGTTGTTTATCTCTACGATTTTCAGCTACCACTTTCCTTCAACGTTTCTTCGCTCCCAAATTTCCATTTCCGGTTTGTTTTTCAGTGTTTTATTGAGCCATTTCATGCACAAGTTGATTGTTTCAAAGCGATTCGCTTATGTTTGTTTTTTCAAATTAAATTTTTCTGTGATCCATCTTGCTCTTCAATTGTTCAAATGATCATTTCGACGTATTTCTTTGAGCGTTTTTTCGTGCAGTCGAGAACTGTAAAAGTTTGGATTATTCCAGTCGTTTACTAAAGCCAGTGTGCTAAATTAAGAATATTTGTATTATTAATGTGTTATCCGTAAGGTTTTTAAATAATTTTTCTCCTATTCCTCATTCAAAATATGGAATAATTCGATAAATGAATTGAAGGATCGAATTGATGAATCGAAGTGGTCAATAATAAGTAATCAACGAGCATCTGAGGCGATACGACATGATACAGTATTTGTTTTACGATGTCATCAAAAAGATGATGATGCAGGTGTTCAGCTGTTATGTTCGTTTCATTCACTGCCATTTTTCAATCTTACCGAGCAACAGTCATTAACGTCGAAGTTCGCTCTTAAAATAACTCCTGAATCAACTGTCTGACAATCTAATTTATTGAAAATTTCCTCATCGATGAGGCGTATGTTTTCTTAGAATATGTTTTTAATATGAAGCAGTTAAAATATTCATAAAAATCACTCAACGGTTCGCTTTTCCACCACCCTCATGAGTGTTCCATGCAAACGATGGTCAAGAAAGACTATTTTATCGTTTGATAATCTATCGCAATTTTTAAAAGCTCCTTTATTAATTCATATAATAGATGAAATGAATGTTACTGTTATTACTGTTATCATCATATCATTTTCATCAACTTTCCGTCACCAAATCGTCTCTTACTCTTCTATAAAAATTAATTCTGTATGTATCTTTCGCTCTATATCTTTCATTACTTATACATACATACCACTGAAGTGTCTCATCTTAACAATCCCATACTCTTACCTCAATTACGCTTTCGGTCTCTTCGCTGTCTTACATCTGTTCGCTTTTACAGCTATCCATATTATATATTGTTTGTACCAAAGGAAATTGGGCAAATTAACGCGAAAAGCTGCCATCGTTAATCCTTAAATCGTTAGAAAATTTTCCGACCGTCAAATTCATTACCTCAGTGCTGCCGCTGACTTCAAATCAACGCAAATTTCTCCGATAATGCCGCCGCTAAATTCGAAACTAGCGATAGTTTCCATTCATTTGTTATCATTGATCATTAATTTCATTTTTTCCCAAATTCACATTCCTCCATTTCAAAAATTTTTCCAAATTCTATGTAAAAATTCTCATTGTACCGTTTCCTTCCTTAGACTCATCCCACTTCAGTTTGCTTCATAGTTTCTTTTCTGTATGGAACAGTTTTCAAATATAATTGGGATAGTTGAGGGTTTTTTTGCAAGTATTTCCGAGAGGCACAAAAGTATTTGAACAGACAACGAGTAGCTGGTGAACGAGAATAGAGGTGTTGCGTTCATTTTCCGGGGCTGGTTTTGATCTGTTGTCGAAGTCGTCAGCATGTTGATCACTCCATTCCATCAGACAGTTTAGATCGCTTGTCTTTGCTTATATCTTTTTTGAAAATGAATGCGTCAAAGTAGGTTTTGAAATCATTATTTGACAAAAATGATCATTTTGAATCTGATTGTATTTACTTACATACTAGAATAGAGAGGTTGCTTCCTCATTATACGGAAATTTAAACGCTCATTGGTAATGAACCTTATCTGATGGAATGGTCGACGAAACGTTCTTGTGCCTCTTAGGATACTTGTCAGCGTTTCATGGAACCATTTCTGAGCCCTTTTTTGCAGCTTCCCACGTATTTTGCTTTCCTGTTCCTAAATAACACCAGTGAAATTATTTATACAATTTTTTAGACTCAAATTAATAAATTCAGTCCCACTTTTTGCCCTACAACGCTGTCGTTATGAGTAAACATTAAATTACGTGACGTTTCGATGCCTCCACTTTTATATGACATATCTACTGACTTCGGATGAGCCTAAACTACCTTCTAGGCTTACGCTCCAAGCCGCATGCTTAAGTCATAGTCCTAAGCCTAAGGTTGTTCGCATCATGTTCCGAAATGTTTAGTCGCCTGAATGTGAACAATATATTGTTGAATGAGTTAAAAGTAAGAAGAAAATGATTTTAGCGACAGTTTCCCTTAATCCACGAGCTAAAAATAATTAGCAGGTGAAGTCTTCGATGAAAGAATCAACCTGTTTGTTAGCAACTTAGCCGTTAACGCATTAATGCCTACCACCAAAAGACGTAGTTGCTATGGAACGCTGAATCAAGATCGATACAGATTAGATGCATTATTAGCAACTATTACTGCTATAATAAGCTTTAGTTGTTTGTAGTTTTATTCTCGTATTTTATCTTTAAGTTGGATACTTTCGTTCAAATTGAAGTGTTTCGCACCGTCTTTGCTTTATTTGTTGTTCTCATAATTGGTGCTGTATAGAGTTGCTTTTTTCAATATGTGTATGTATTATGATGATATTATTTCCGCACGGTTCAATCGCAGCTTGAATATTATTTTGCAGATATTTCTTAAGTTGACTGCACATTCTCGTAATGATCTTTTCCTGGTCTCTTCGTTTTGTTTTGATGTTCCTTTGTTAATAATCACTGTTTGCGATAATATGTATACTGTTTATTCTGCCAATACATATGATAATCGTTTCTTAAATTTTTGTTCTAATGTTATTCTTTTCATCTCCTATGCTACCATTTTTCGTGCAATTGTACTTCGATGTTCATTCGTTGTTCTTTTTATTTCGTTATCTATTTTCGTTTTCAAAACGATGATTTTTTCCCATTCTGGAAGAAGTACTTTTGCTAAAGCTTTTATCCAGTAAAATATAACTGATTTGGAAGCGTTCTATTGGTTGGCTCAAAATTTCTTTTTTTCATATGCTGAAAGTTCAGTTGCATATGCGAAGCAACTGAAAGCTTCCTATCATATTAGAATTTCTGGTTGTTCTAAGGAGGAAAAACGCATTGTATTGTTTGTGCAGCATTTCTGAATTCAGTGCGCATCTATAATGTGCTGTACTTGCAACCAATATCCGCAAGTTGTATATTTTTTTTCCAGTATTTGTTTTCTATTTTCCTTTCATCGGTTAACATCAACTAATTTCTTAAATTGCATGTACCTTCTGTGCCTAACGTTATTTTTCAAGTTTTACCCTCAATTATTCACTATTGTCTCATCACTGGTTGAAATGCTTGATTACATTCAAATATTCACAAAGAGTTGAGCAACTTGTTTTAAATTATGCAATGAAATTGCCTCGCAATTTGAAGACAATAATTTGGTTAGAGTAACGTAACTTCAAATCTCATGTAACCCAATTAAAGTTTAGACTGTGCAGTTCAATTTGATATGTCAAAATAAGCGATCTGAAAGTTCGTTCTTCGTCTATCTACTAATAAATTCAGCTGTAGAGACAAATAAGATCGCTGTGTTTTGATAACCCTACAAATTCATATTCAATATCTTTCTAAAATATGTTTTACGATATCAGTTCAACGTTGAAAATCACCTAAAAGAGTTGTTTTCAGCAAATCAATCTATTGGACTCTTTCATTTTACATTAATCTGTTCCTATGAATTTACCGTTTTTGATGTGTTAACTGATGAATTTCATTGACGTTTTTATCTTGTATTGCTGAATGAATGGTTTTTCGTCTGATATCATCCAGTTGTCCATTATCCTTTAATTCATATATTTGCGTATCTCTGTATATATGTATATGTTACGGGATTGGCGTGTTCAATTTGTGATCAGTGTGCACTGAAACACTATCAATATTGCGTTTCAATAAGGAACCTTGTACACTTCCATTCAATTTTGAAAACCTAGATAATCGACCTGAATGTTAATGGCAATTTGTTATTTCGTGAATCAGAAATTCTAAAATCAATGAGATCGTATCAAATTGGAATGAACCTCGTGAAAATTTTCCTACCATCTTGAGAAACCAAGAAGAAAAGGAGAGACATGACAGTTGAAGTTCGTCATATAAGAGAAGGAAATGTGCTTCCAAGATGACACTGAGGTGATCATATGGGTAAGGTTAGAAATGTTTTTCTTTGCATGTTCATTCGCGAGTGCATATGATCAAAATTTGTTTAGCGACTTGCAATGAGTGTACGGTGTTCTCATTATAAAGTGCACACTTCTTAGGGTCAATTCCGCGAACATAGATGTTGATTGCCGACAATAATAATAATAATAATGATAATAATATACTAATGACTGATGATGCCTTTCTAAGTGGTTCTTTGATTCTCACTTGATCAGTATTTGTTGATTTATATCACCGTTGAAATGGAATTTCGTTTTTGTTTTTCCGTTTCGAATTGTTCAGTAATCCGTTCTTGCATTTTCTTTGAAATCGGTATTATCCACAAATAAATGCTGCTCTTGTCGATCAGTTATCTGATTTATATTCTTGCCACAACGGCCACTTCCTCGAACGAATGAATCTTAGTTTTTTTTTTCGCTCTAAAGACAGTCAGACAAATAAGTTTGGTTACCAATTTATGTTTTCTCGGCAAATCAGTAAGAAAATGAATTAGAACAGATGCATCGCGGGGATCATTCAGATATGATGCGTACTGTTGTCATTTAAACGCTCTCAAACTAGCTGCAGACACATTCTGGGAGTTGATAGGTACTTTAAGGAATTTGCATTGATGGGAAGGTACGAAATTAATGGGTGGTAGGTGTAGTAGGATTCGTTGTAAAATAAAAAGTTAAAAAGCATGAGATTCATCGTGGAACAAAATATATGTGGTTATGTGATGAGTCGAATCGTCTTTTATGGCTAATTTTCAATGTAGATGTTCTTCGGAGGCTATCGAGAACAAATTGTTATGCAAAACCTTGAAATATTGTTTGCGTTGCTCGGATATCACATCAGGAAATTTTGCGATTTATTATGTTATCGACAAACACAGTTCACGTGGATGAAAGACACCGTAATTCAGTTGTTGCCTTATTGGGGTAGAGGTATTCGACGAGGAAACTGCCAGTTTATCGGATTTGGAAATAATGTCGAGAAATAAATGATCATTAGGTAATTCAATGACATGTATTGTACTATTTAGCTTGAGGAATTTTAAGATGGAGCCACAAACTCCCTTATGGACATTAAAAGTGATACTGCTTGGTACGGCAGCTTCATGAAATGGAAAAAAACGTGGAAAACAGCCTTGACAATGCATAATGAGAACAAGCTGTTTTATACGAAATTGGGATGAGACGGAACTTATGGAAGAAGTACGCCACCCACGTCGTTGCACAAAGCAATGTTTTAGATTTTGTAAAATTAGTGAATTGAAAAGAGGAAAGAAACATTTCAGAGGGTTTTGTTTATTCCATGAGCTGATTCAAACAAGGTTTTGTATGTTCTATTCTAAAGTTTCTTTCAACCACTTTCTTCGGTAATGCCTTTTTTGTCTTTCGAATTCTCAGTTCTATTTCGATTCAAGTTTTGTTTTGAGAAATCGTTCGATTCTTTCTTTATTA